TGTAGGGAATTTACATTTCACACCATCAGCTTCCTAAAAGCCATCAACTGGGAACAACTGCTCTATACAAAGGAAACCAAAAGCATTGTTTGGAAGCTGAACAAACATCTTAGATATTCCTATAAAGGGAATGCTGTATCTGTCAGCAAAACCCAGAGACATTTACAAGATCTAAAGATTATATGGGCTATGTTAAAAGCGTGAATTTGGCAGTTTTAGTCGTATTTCCAATTTTTCACTACACTATCTGGGGAGAAGTACTAGTTAATATCACAGGAGCAAATTATAAGCGTCAACACCACCCTACTAGCTTGTCTTCCTCCTGCTTTTCGTAAACTTCTGCCAGCTCCAGTGGAGTCTGTTCCAGGGTACATCACTCAGCAACCTGCAAAGCTGCTCAGAGATAGAACAAACAGGCTTCACCTCAACTAGTCTGGCAGCAAGCACTCAGCTGGTAAACACTGCCTTGGGGCAGAGCCCATGGAAAGCCTTGAGCCCAGGAAAGACTTACAGAAGTTGCATAAAAATTCTTGGTTTTATATCATCTTCCCAGGAAGTTGGAAAATAATTGGTTTTTAGTTAAAGAAACATAATCTATGCTCAAAAATGTAATGTAATGTAACGCTTCAAACAAGCAAAATCGAGAATGAAAAAAACTAGAGGAAAATACAGTCTATTAATCAATAGCTTACTTTGGTTAAATGATCATAGTTAGTCAGTGCAATGTATTATTATAGTTAGAAGCACAGCCTACCATGTTCTCATAAAACAGGGTACCAGCGAAGGACATGAAAACAGTTCACAGAGATAATAGCCCTTTAGCCTTCTGTGACTTCAAAACTCGAAAAGACAAAGGCTAACCAGGATTTGACCTTCAGATACATACTTGCCCAAAGCAGGCTGAGTTAAGAGACAGCTAAACATCTGATTCTTATTCACTTACGGTGTTCTCAGGAAGTTCCTGTTTGGACATCGATGGTTCTCAACCTGGCTGCACATCGGAGTCATCTGGGAAGCTTTAAAAAAATCACCAAATGCCCAGACCAATTAAATCTGGAGGGTGCAGTCCAGAAACCAGTATTCTTTATGCTTCCCCAGGTAGTTCTTTCTAATGTGCAGCCTGGCTGCACACCACTGATGAATCCCTTTCAGAAAGCTGTTGCATGAAAGCCATGCTGTATCTAGATAGTTTGGTTTTTTCTAATTCCACCAGGAAAAGGGATTTTTAGAAAAAGGCACCGTTGCGCTTCCTCTAAAGAGGCAGCTTACTGTTTGAGAAGCGCTGGTCCTTGGAGGTTATCTGGAGCGCTGGTTGAAGAGGAGGGAGTCCTTGTCTTGGCAAAGCAGGCAGAGTTTCAGGCTTCGGCAGCTGCCTCCAGAAACAAAGAAGGCCCAGATGCCCGTGAGCACCAGGATGATGTATGCCAACACCAGATTTAATCCAGAATAAGGACTTATGAAGGTCTGCAAGGGGAAAATAACAGCAAGCTTATTAAACATGTGGAGTAAACAAAGGAAAAGGAAAATATGAAATACTTTCAATAGCTGAGGTGTGTTTCACTAAACATGCGATGTATGTCATGCACCCACAAAGACACATAGGACTAACCTAGTCAACAGACACCAGCCCGTATGTCTGTTTCTGTGTAAGTGAAATGGGACTGAGGTGAAGCTAAAATAACACCAGTAAGGCGCTTATGACAGGTTCTGGCACAGGGTATCTGAGAAAAGTCCTGAGAACAATCATTGCCACATGGGGCAGAGTTAGTGTTGTCCCAGCTTCCCCAAGTCTTCCGTGTTGGTCTCCATGGCACACGCGGCACGTTGAGGGCAGCAGCAGGAAGGGCCATCGAGCGTGCCCGACGTGCTGTGCTGTGTACTTATCACCTGGGTCACACATTCCAGTCCCACGATGATAACCTGTGAGCTAAGGGCCCATTTCATAGAAAAAGAATCTCAGATTTAAGAACCTGACAGGCTAGGCAGCTAGGAAAAGTGAAGCCAGATCTGGCTCCCAAAGTGAAAAGATGCTGGGTGTAGGAGAGCTTTTGACTAGAGTGAGGCAGGGGGCATCTCTGTCTAGCTGAGGATGGGCAGGGAAGTGCCCAGGGCTGGTGAAGATGCAGGAAGGCTGAGACGTAGAGTTTATTTGCCTTGAGAAAAAGGACAGCTTTTTAGAGGTGGGAACTGTAACCTGGCCTCCAAGCTTCTCTTTGGGTCTGTGGAGAGAAAATATTGGGTTGGCCAAAGGTTCATTCGTTTTTTTTCCGTAAGATAGCTGTAGTAGCACTTAGTTGTCTTTAACTTCATTCAAAACAATTTTGTTAGATTGTATGTGACAGCTGTCATATCAGCATGCGTTTAAAAAAAGACTTATCAAAATTGGTGACTTTTTGTGTAGCCATCTTAATACTGAAGATGGAAGAAAAAAAGCAACATTTTCAGCATATAATGCTTTATTATTTCAAGAAACGTAAAAACGCAACCAAAATGCAAAAAAAGATTTGTGCAGTGCATGGAAAAGGTGCTGTGACGGATCGAACGTGTCAAAAGTGGTTTGCGAAGTTTTGTTCTGGAGATTTCTCGCTGGACGATGACCCACGGTTGGGTAGACCAGTTGAAGTCGATAGCAATCAAATCAAGACGTTAACTGAGAGCAATCAATTTTACACCACGCAGCAGACAGCCGACATACTCAAAATATCCAAATCAAGCACTGAAAATCATTTGCACCAGCTTGGTTATGTTAATCGCTTTGATGTTTGGGCTCCACATAAGTGAAAAAAACCTTGACCGTATTTCCGCATGCGATTCTCTACTTAAACGTAATGAAAACGTTCCGTTTTTAAAACCAATTGTGATGGGCAGTGAAAAGTGGATACTGTACGACAGTATGGAATGGAAGAGATCGTGGGGCAAGCAAAATGAACCACCACCAACCACACCAAAGGCTGGTCTTCATCCAAAGAAGGTGATGTTGTGTAGATGGTGGGACTGGAAGGGAGTCCTTTATTACGAGCTCCTTCCGGAAAACCAAATGATTAATTCCAACAAGTACCGCTCCCAATTAGACCAAATGAAAGCAGCACTGGACGAAAAGCGTCCAGGATTAGTCAACAGAAAAAGCATAATCTTCCATCAGGATAATGCAAGACAACATGTTTCTTTGATGACCAGGCAAAAAACTGTTACAGCTTGGCTGGGAAGTTCTGATTCTTCTGCTGTATTCACCACACATTGCAGCTTCGGATTTCCATTTATTTTGGTCTTCACAAAATTCACTTAATGGGAAAAATTTCAATTCCCTGGAAGACTGTAAAAGGCACCTGGAACAGTTCTTTGCTCAAAAAGAAAATCAGTTTTAGGAAGACAGAATTATGAAGTTGCCTGAAAAATAGCAAAAGGTAGTGGAACAAAACAGTGAATATGCTGTTCAATAAAGTTCTTGGTAAAAATGAAATATGTGTCTTTTATTTTGATGTAAAAACCGAAGGAACTTTTTGGCCAATCCAATATATTCAAATGGCAACCGTAGAAGGTAATCAGAAGCCAGACCTAATGAAATACCCAACAGAGGATAGATGTTACATAACCAGGGCCCAGTTTTTAACCATTTGTGTTAATTGGCTCTTAGAGTTAGCAAGAAAGTGAGACAAGTCCAGGTTACTTTAGTAAAATTCCTTAGTATTAAGGGAATGTGAGGGAACATCTTTTTCAGCTGCACAATTGCTGAGGGTTCCAAAAGTTCATTTAAAAACTGCTGATGAGATGCTGCGAGGTACTAGTGAAGACCACAGTGCCTGTCCTAATGGAGCTTATATACTAGTAAGGGAGACAAGTAATGAATGAAGAAACAAATAATTCCAAATTGTGATGAATGCTAGGACAGAATAATTACAACTGAGATGGTGCTAGCATAGGTAAAATTACAAGGCGATCTACCTAGGCGGGGCGGTCAAGGAAGGCGCTGAGGAAGCAGCATTTAACCTGAGACTTGCAGGAGGAGGAGGGAGCCAGCCTGGTGTAGACCAAGGGAGGGAACCAAAGGAGGGCAAAGAGTTCATTGCAGCTGAGAACCTGAGAGTTGATATAAATGATGTGTAGGGATGGAAGGGCAAGCACTGAGACAGGAGAGGAAGGCGGGGCCAGCTACACAGCATGTGGGTGAGGAGTGTGAATTTCATCCTCAGTGTAATGGAGTTGCACAGAAGGGTTTTAGGTCGGGGAGCTGAATGATTTTAGATTATTTATTTATTTTTTGGCCACCCTGCACTTGCGGGATCTTAGTTCCCCGACCAGGGATTGAACCCGGGCCACGGAAGCTAAAGCGCCGAGTCCTAACCACTGGACCACCAAGGAATTCCCATGATTTTAGATTTTTTTAACTGCAGATAATGGATTCAAGGAGGCTATGGTGAAAGCAGGGAGACTAGTTAGGAAGACTCTGCACTGAATGAGGAGAGTACAGGTTGGTGACTTAGTCCAGGGTGATGGTGGTAGAGATGTACAGAGCAGATGATAGGAACTGGTGGGAGTTGCCTGTGGATGGAATGTGAGGGAAAGGGAGAGGCCAAGAATGACTTCCATGTTTCTGGCTTTAGGTAAATGGTGGTGCTATTTAAAGAGATACAAAAAGACTTGAGGAAGACCAAGCTTAAAAGACTTGGAGTTAATAAGAACCTGCTGTATAAAAAAATAAAGCAGTCTTAGAAGAGTGGTTGAACAGAAGGCAAAATGCACTAGAAGCATGAGAAGAAGCAGAGACAGAGTTTGCGGAGATAACTCTTTGAGAAATTTTGCTGCGATGGGAACCAGAAAAAAAAGTCATAGCTCGAAGGAGAACTGGCAATAACGAAGAGTTTTATTTAAGATATGTCTATATGCTGGTGAAGAGAGGGATAGGCTGGTGATGTAGGAGAGAGGGCACAGTCAAAGGAGTAAAGTCCTTAAGTAGGAAGGAATTAGGTCTGAAGCCCAAGTGGAGGGACTGGCCTTTGACAAAAGAAAGGATACTTCCTGTGCTGGGCCAGGGTAAGGTGGGGAGATGGCTTCTTCTTAACAAACAAGAGGCTCTGACTGGGTCAGTCTGTCACCTCTGCCCAGCAGGGGTAGCAGGGGGAGTGCCTCCAAGGCACCTCACTGTCCTCACCCTCACCCTGCTTGCACATGCCCTTGGATTCAGGATACAAAGAGTGACAAGATAAGGTCCCATCACTGATGATCAAACTCTAATTAGAGAGGTAGATGGAAAAACTGTATCAAATAAAATAATGCTGGCCGGGGAGAGGGGTTATAACACAGCTATAAATAAGGGCTAGTGATAGTGCTGAGTCAGAATTGTGCACCTTTTGCAGGGAGGCCTCACACGAAATGCTCAGGAGTTTTCCAAACTGACCTAGGTTAGCAGTCATTGCAGATAAAACAGCACGAACAAAGGCACTCCCTGCTGGGGAGCCACACTGGATCAATTTAGATGGAGGGTATGGTGTGAACTATGGGGAGCAGCAAGAGGTAAGTTGTGCACCAGTAAAATCAGTAAGAGGCTTATGTCAAACAAAGAAGTCTGGGTTTTACTCCACTGGCCTCTGCTACAGCTCATCGCCCTCTCCTCTCCAATACAGCTGGCTTCAGGACGCCTGGCTCCTGCTGCTCTTCTACTTCACTAAGTTCCTCCTTCTCAGTCTCCTTTGCTGGCTCCTCTTCTTGCCCCAACCTCAAGGCTGAAATGCCCCAGGCCTTAGTCCTTGGGCCTCTTCTCTTGTCTGCTTATACTCACTTCTTGTGATCATCTCTTCGAGCCTGGATTTCTCTCCCAAACTCCAGACTTTTTTATCCAACTGCCTAACTGCCTTCTCCACTTGAATGTCCAATAGGCGCCCCCAAGGTAACATGCCCAAGGAGAACTCCTGATCTCCCTCACAAGCTTCTCCATCCCAGCTGATGGCAACTCCATCCTTCTAGTCATCCAGGCCCAAAACTTTGAAGACATCCTTGGCTCCTCTTCTTTCTCTCCCTTGCCTTATGCAGTCTGTCAGGAAATACCGTTGGCTCTACTTTCAGAAATATGTCCTGAATCTGAACAGTTCTCATTATTTCCACTGCTATCTCACCCAAGTTGTCACCACCCTTCTCTTGATGACTGTAATCTCTTCCCCCATTACAGTCTACCCTAAACACAGCAGTCAAAATGATCCTTTTAAAACGTGATTCAAGTCATGTCCTTGTACTCAACACCCTACAATGACTCCCATTTCATTGAGAGTAAAAAGCTCAAGTCTTGCATTATCTAGATGTGGTTCTCATTTCCAACCTGTACTTCCATCCCCAACTTCAAATCTGTGACAGTATCTGCTACTAACTTCCCCAGGCTCACTGGTTCTGACCACCCTCACTTCCATAAACATGCCAAGCATGTTCTTTAGTCTTAGGACTTTGCCACTGGCTGTTTTAGTCTTGGATGCTCTTTCTCCAGACAGCCGTATGGCCAACTTGACTTTTTTGTTCAAATGTCACCTTCACAATGAAGACTACTTTTGACTACATAGTTCCAAAATTCAACATCCCCAGCCCACACAATCTGGAACCCTCTTAACCTGCTCTACTTACCCTTTTTTCCCACAGCACCTATCAATTTTAATATACTATAAAACTTTTTATTATGTCTACTGCTTGCTGCCTCTCTCTCCACTAGATGGTAAAGGCAGGGTCTTTGATTTTTTTCACTAAATTGTTTTGTTCGCCTAGAACAGTGCCTGGAACATAGAAGGCTATTTATCAAATGAATGAATGGCCAATTGGATCCATAAAAAGGAAATTTCCTTTTTCTTGCAACTTCCTTTCTGTTTATTAAAGTGTACATAGTAGAAAATTTGGAACATGCCAAAAACCATAAAGAATAAAAGATCCACCCAAAAATGAAAGCTGTTAATATTTTAACACACTCTCTAGCCAGTGGTTTTTCCATTAAGATTTGACTTTATGGTCCTGAACCAAGAAGGCGCAGTAGAAGGACATGCTCTCACGCCCTCTTGCAAGAACACCAAAATCACAACTAGCTGCTGGACAATCATCGACAGGAAGACATTCGAACTCACGAAAAAAGATACCCCACATCCAAAGACAAAGGAGAAGCCATAATGAGACAGTAGGAAGGGCTCAATCACAGTAAAATCAAATCCTGTAAGTGCTGGGTGGCTGACTCACAGACTGGAGAACACTTACACCACAGAAAGCCACCCACTGGAGTGAAGGTTCTGAGACCCATGTCAGGCTTCCCAACCCGGGGGGTGCAGCAACAGGAGGAGGAATTCCTAGAGATTCAGACTTTGAAAGCTAGTGGGATTTGACTGCAGGACTTCAACAGGACTGAGGGAAACAGAGACTGCACTCTTGGACAGCACACACAAAATAGTATGCACGTCAGGACCCAGGGGAAGGAGCAGTGACCCCCATAGAACACTGAACCAGACCTACATGCTAGTGTTGGAGGGTCTCCTGCAGAGGTGGGGGGTGGCTGTGGCTCGCCATGGGGACAAGGACACTGGCAAGCATAAGTTCCAGGAAGTACTCCTTGGCTTGAGCTCTCCTAGAGTCGGACATTAGCCCCACCAAAGAGCCCAGGTAGGCTCCAGTGTTGGGCTGCCTCAGGCGAAACAACCAACAGGGAGGGAACCCAGCCCCACCCATCAGCAGTCAAGCCAACTAAAGTTTTACTGAGCTCTGCCCACCAGAGCAACAGTCAGCTCTACCCACCACCAGTCCCTCACATCAGGAAACTTGCACAAGCCTCTTAGATAGCCACATCCACCAGAGGGCAGACAGTAGAAGCAAGAAGAACTACAATCCTGCAGCCTGCGGAACAAAAACCACATTCACAGAAAGACAGACAAGATGAAAAGGCAAAGGGCTATGTACCAGATGAAGGAACAAGATAAAACCCCAGAAAAACAACTAAATGAAATGGAGATAGGCAACCTTCCAGAAAAAGAATTCAGAATAATGATAGTGAAGATGATCCAGGACCTCAGAAAAAGAATGGAGGCAAAGATCGAGAAGATGCAAGAAATGTTTAGCAAAGACCTAGGAGAACTAAAGAACAAACAAACAGAGATGAACAATACAATAACTGAAATGAAAACTACACTAGAGGGAATCAACAGCAGAATAACTGAGGCAGAAGAACGGATGAACGACCTGGAAGACGGAACGGTGGAATTCACTGCTGCAGAACAGAATAAAGAAAAAAGAATGAAAAGAAATGAAGACAGCCTAAGAGACCTCTGGGACAACATTAAACACAACAACATTCGCATTAGAGGGGTCCCAGAAGGAGAAGACAGAGAGAAAGGACCAGAGAAAATATTTGAAGAGATTATAGTCGAAAACTTAGCTAACATGGGAAAGGAAATAGTCATCAAAGTCCAGGAGGCACAGAGAGTTCCATACAGGATAAACCCAAGGAGAAACACACCAAGACACATAGTAATCAAATCGGCAAAAATTAAAGACAAAGAAAAATTATTGAAAGACACAAGGGAAAAACAACAAATAACATACAAGGGAAATCCAATAAGGTTAACAGCTGATTTCTCAGCAGAAACTCTACAAACCAGAAGGGAGTGGCATGATATACTTAAAGTGATGAAAGGGAAGAACCTACAACCAAGATTACTCTACCCAGCAAGGATCTCATTCAGATTTGATGGAGAAATCAAAAGCTTTACAGACAAGCAAAAGCTAATAGAATTGAGCACAACCAAACCGGCTCTACAACAAATGCTAAAGGAACTTCTCTAACTGGGAAACACAAGAGAAGAAAGGACCTACAAAAACAAACCCAAAACAATTAAGAAAATGGTCATAGGAACATACATTTCGATAATTACTTTAAACGTGAATGGATTAAATGCTCCAACCAAAAGACAAAGACTGGCTGAATGGATGCAAAAACAAGACCCATATATATGCTGTCTACAAGAGACCCACTTCAGACCTAGGGACACATACAGACTGAAAGTGAGGGGATGGAAAAAGACATTCCATGCAAAGGGAAATCAAAAGAAAGCTGGAGTAGCAATACTCATATCAGATAAAATAGACTTTAAAACAAAGAATGTTACAAGAGACAAGGAAGGACACTACATAATGATCAGGGGATCAATCCAAGAAGAAGATATAACAATTATAAATACATACGCACCCAACATAGAAGCACCTCAATACATAAGGCAACTGCCAACAGCTATAAAAGAGGAAATCGAGAGTAACACAATAAGAGTGGGGGACTTTAACACCTCACTTACACCAATGGACAGATCATCCAAAATGAAAGTAAATAAAGACACAGAAGCTTTAAATGACACGATAGACCAGATAGATTTAATTGATATTTATAGGACATTCCATCCAAAAACAGCAGATTACACTTTCTTCTCAAGTGCGCACAGAACATTCTCCAGGATTGATCACATCTTGGGTCACAAATCAAGCCACAGTAAATTTAAGAAAACTGAAATCATATCAAGCATCTTTTCTGATCATAATGCTATGAGATTAGAAATCAATTACAGGGGAAAAAACGTAAAAAACACAAACACATGGAGGCTAAACAATACGTTACTAAATAACCAAGAGATCACTGAAGAAATCAAAGAGGAAATCAAAAAATACCTAGAGAGAAATGACAATGAAAACACGACGATCCAAAACCTATGGGATGCAGCATAAGTAGTTCTAAGAGGGAAGTTTATAGCTATACAAGCCTACCTCAAGAAACAAGAAAAATCTTAAACAATCTAACCTTACACCTAAAGGAACTAGAGAAAGAAGAACAAACAAAACCCAAAGTTAGCAGAAGGAAAGAAATCATAAAGATCAGAGCAGAAATACATGAAATAGAAACAAAGAAAACAATAGCAAAGATCAATAAAACTAAAAGCTGGTTCTTTGAGAAGATAAACAAAATTGATAAACCATTAGCCAGACTCATCAAGAAAAAGAAGGAGAGGATTCAAATCAATAAAATTAGAAATGAAAAAGGAGAAGTTACAACAGACACCGCAGAAATACAAAGCATCCTAAGAGACTACTACAAGCAACTCTATGCCAATAAAATGGACAACCTGTAAGAAATGGACAAATTCCTAGAAAGGTTTAAGCTTCCAAGACTGAACCAGGAAAAAATAGAAAATATGAACAAACCAGTCACAAATAATGAAATTGAAACTGTGATTTAAGATCTTCCAACAGGGCTTCCCTGGTGGCGCAGTGGTTGAGAGTCCGCCTGCCGATGCAGGGGACACGGGTTCGTGCCTCGGTCTGGGAAGATCCCACATGCCGCAGAGCAGCTGGGCCCGTGAGCCATGGCCGCAGAGCCTGTGCGTCCAGAGCCTGTGGTCCGCAACAGGAGAGGCCACAACAGTGAGAGGCCCACGCACCGCAAAAAACAAAAACAAAAACAAAAATCTTCCAACAAACAAAAGTCCAGGATCAGATGGCTTCACAGGTGAATTCTATCAAACATTTAGAGAAGAACTAACACCCACCCTTCTCAAACTCTTCGAAAAAATTACGGAGGAAGGAATACTCCCAAACTCATTCTATGAGGCTACCATGACCCTGATACCAAAACCAGACAAGGATACTACAAAAAAAGAAAATTACAGACCAATATCACTGATGAATATAGATGAAAAAATCCTCAACAAAATACTAGCAAACAGAATCCAACATCACATTAAAAGGATCATACACCATGATCAAGTGGGATTTATCCCAGGGATGCAAGGATTCTTCAATATACGCAAATCTATCAATGTAACACACCATATTAACAAACTGAAGAATAAAAACCATATGATCATCTCAATAGATGCAGAAAAAGCTTTTTACAAAATTCAACACCCATTTATGATAAAAACTCTCCAGAAAGTGGGCAGAGGGAACTTACCTCAACATAATAAAGGCCATATACAAGAAACCCACAGCAAACATCATTCTCAATGGTGAAAAACTGAAAGCATTTCCTCTAAGATCAGGAGCAAAACAAGGATGTCCACTCTCACCACTATTATTCAACACAGTTTTGGAAGTCCTAGCCATGGCAATCAGAGAAGAAAAAGAAATAAAAAGGAATCCAAATTGGAAAAGAAGAAGTAAAGCTGTCACTGTTTGCAGATGACATGATACTATATGTAGAGAATCCTAAAGATGCCACCAGAAAACTACTAGAGCTAATCAATAAATTTGGTAAAGTTGCGGGATACAAAATTAATGCACAGAAATCTCTTGCATTCCTATACACTAATGATGAAAAATCTGAAAGAGAAATTAAGGAAACACTCCCATTTACCATTGCAACAAAAAGAATAAAATACCTAGGAATAAACCTACCTAGGGAGACCAAAGACCTGTAAGCAGAAAACTATAAGACACTGATGAAAGAAATTAAAGATGATACCAACAGATGGAGAGATATACCATGTTCTTGGATTGGAAGAATCAATATTGTGAAAATGACTCTACTACCCAAAGCAATCGACAGATTCCATGCAATCCCTATCAAATTACCAATGGCATTTTTTATGGAACTAGAACAAAAAATCATAAAATTTGTATGGAGACACAAAAGACCCCAAATAGCCAAAGCAGTCTTGAGGGAAAAAACGGAGCTGGAGGAATCAGACTCCCTGACTTCAGACTATACTACAAAGCTACAGTAATCAAGGCAATATGGTACTGGCACAAAAACAGAAACATAGATCAATGGAACAAGATAGAAAGCCCAGAGATAAACCTATGCACCTATGGTCAACTAATCTATGACAAAGGAGGCAAGGATACACAATGGAGAAAAGACAGTCTCTTCAATAAGTGGTGCTGGGAAAACTGGACAGCTACATGTAAAAGAATGAAATTAGAACACTCCCTAACACCATACACAAAAATAAACTCAAAATGGATTAGAGACCTAAATGTAAGACCAGACACTATAAAACTCTTAGAGGAAAACATAGGAAGAACACTCTGACATAAATCACAGCAAGATCTTTTTTGATCCACCTCCTGGAGTAATGGAAATAAAAAGAAAAATAAACAAATGGGACCTAATGAAACTTCAAAGCTTTTGCACAGCAAAGGAAACCATAAGCAAGACGAAAAGACAATGCTCAAAAGGGGAGAAAATATTTGCAAACAAATCAACAAAGGATTAATCTCCAAAATATATAAACAGCTCATGCAGCTCAATATTAAAAAAGCAAACAACCCAATCCAAAAATGGGCAGAAGACCTAAATAGACATTTCTCCAAAGAAGACATACAGATGGCCAAGAAGCACATGAAAAGCTGCTCAACATTACTAATTATTAGAGAAATGCAAATCAAAACTACAATGAGGTACCACCTCACACCAGTTAGAATGGGCATCATCAGAAAATCTACAAACAACAAATGCTGGAGAGGGTGTGGAGAAAAGGGAACCCTCTTGCACTGTTGGTGGGAATGTAAATTGATACAGCCACTATGGAGAACAGTATGGATGTTCCTGAAAAAACTAAAAACAGAGCTTCCCTGGTGGCACAGAGAGAAATGATACCACGAGGTATCACCTCACACATGTTAGAATGGGCATCATCAGAAAATCTACAAATGCTGGAGAGGGTGTGGAGAAAAGGGAACCCTTTTGCACTGTTGGTGGGAATTTAAATTGATACAGCCTCTATGGAAAACAGTATAGAGGTTCCTTAAAAAACTAAACTAAAAATAGAATTACCATATGATCCAGCAATCTCACTACTGGACATATACCCTGAGAAAACCATAATTCAAAAAGACACATGCACCCCAATGTTCACTGCAGCACTATTTACAATAGCCAGGTCATGGAAGCAACCTAAATGTCCATCGACAGACGAATGGATAAAGAAGATGTGGTACATATATACAGTGGAATATCAGCCATAAAACGGAACAAAATTAGGTCATTTGTTGAGACGTGGATGGAACTAGAGACTGTCATACAGAGTGAAGTAAGTCAGAAAGAGAACAACAAATATAGTATATTAACACATATACGTAGAACCTAGAAAAATGGTACAGATGAACCAGTTTGCAGGGCAGAAATTGAGACACAGATGTAGAGAACAAACGTATGCACACCAAGGGGGGAAAGCAGCGGTGGGTGGGGGTGGTGGTGATGAATTGGGAGACTGGGGTTCACATGTACACACTAATGTGTATAAAATGGCTGACTTATAAGAACCTGCTGTATAAAAAATATATAAAATAAAATTTAAAAATTAAAAAAAAAAGATTTGACTTTACATAGCTGCCATCATATTAAGGGTAACTTTAGTATCCTGTATGACTGAAAGGTTTTAGGTAAGAAAGGCAATGAGATTGTTTTTTAGATGGAACAGAGAACAAGAAGCCCAGTATAAGAAAACCTGATATGAACTCTAAATGGATGGAGAGGAGAGAAACATGAGGCAGGACACCATCAGAAGGAAGCTTTTCAATACTGTAGGTGAGAAATGATAAAGGTCTGGACAAAGTAGTGGCTGGGATAATTCTGATGTAAGTATATGACAAGTTACGACTAAACTAAGACCAAAGCATTAAACAGTGCGTAAACAATACATCCAGTCAAGTATTCTTTTTAAGTTACTTTTGAAACCTGGCATTATAATGTCAGTGACGAGAGAGTAAGATGGGCACTCTTGACATTCATCAGAATGCGTAAAAATAGTACAACCCTTGTACAGAGTATTTTAGCAATTTGCATCAAGGGCTTTAAAAATATTCACACCATTTGACTTCAAAAATCAATTCCTTGGAATCTAAACAATGAATTGAAAAAGTTTCACATACAAAGTTGTTCCAGACAGCATTATAATAACCAAAAGTAGAAAAACAAGTTATCAATCAGTTAAGCAAACTATAACTTTATGTAATGATCTAAAGCCACTAAAACTTAAATATTAAAAGGATTTATAATAACATGGAAATTTTTTATGATGTGTTACATAACATAAGCATAATACAAGCCTATTTCAGTTTGACTCTACCCATTAAAAGAAAGACACATACCAAAAAAAAAACCATAAAACTTATGAGATCAACCAACAAATTGTTATCTTTCTACGGTAAGAAAGATGATTTATCTATCATTCATTCATTCATTCTTTTAAATGACTTTTCTGAATTTCCTCATTTTCCTATAGCATGTATTTCATTCAAAGTGGAATCTACCACTTTAGATATGCAGACTTGAGCTCCAAAAACCAGTTTGAGCACGGTAGCAATACTCACCAGGGCTGACACCAGTAGATGGGTCAGAAGAACTACAAGCAGGGTGTACCACTTTTTCTTCTCACAGCCATCAAAAAACACAATGCCCCAGAACATGTGCAGCAATATGATCACCAGCGTCATGAAAGCTGAAAGACAGGCAACCATTAGTGCCCAGTCACAGGACAACAAACTCCAAAGCCCACTAAACACCTAGTCCTGGGACAACGCTCTTGGGGTACACCGCACTACTGTAAGGGTTCAACCCTATCTGACAGAAGCGGGACCCTGACACATAGCTGCTTGAATAGTAACTCTGAGAGCAACATTCCTGAACCAGGGGGCCAACTCTGAAGCAGCTTCTCATCTAGAACGTGAATTTGTGAAACAAGAAGTCAACTTGGATCTGGCTTTCAAGGAGTTTCTCTTAGGAATGCAATAAGACTACTGTGATATCTAATCAGCTTTTCTCCAAATTAGCCTTCTGCACTAATTGCGAAACTCCCACCCTCCCCCGACACCGCGCCACACAGCATGTAGGATCTTAGTTGCCTGACCAGGGATCAAACCAGCACACCCCCAACCCCACATTGGAAACTTGAAGTCTTAACCAATGGACTGCCAGGGAGGTCCCTGAGAAACCTTTCTCAATTAAAAGTGTCTTTGGGCTTCCCTGGTGGCACAGTGGTTGAGAATCTGCCTGACAATGTAGGGGACAGGGGTTCGAGCCCTGGTCTGGGAAGATCCCACATGCTGTGGAACAACTGGGCCCGTGAGCCACAATTACTAAGCCTGCGCGTCTGGAGCCTGTGCTCCGCAACAAGAGAGGCCGCGATAGTGAGAGGCCTGCGCACCGCGATTTAGAGTGGCCCCCACTTGCCACAACTAGAGAAAGCCCTTGCACAGAAACGAAAACCCAACACAGCCATAAATATATAAATTAATTAATTAAAAAAAAAAGGAGTGTCTTCAATTTAAACAAGTCTTCTCATTAAAGTGAAATTTCTCCTTGGAGTTTTTATTAAGGACAATGGAAGATAAAAATATTAGAAATTGCAGTAATCATCCAAGATTTTCTTTTTTTAACATCTTTATTGGAGTATAATTGCTTTACAATGGTGTGTTAGTTTCTGCTTTATAACAAAGTGAATCAGGTATACATATACATATGTCCCCATATCTCCTCCCTCTTGCGTCTTCATCCAACCCTCCCTATCTCACCCCTCTAGGTGGACACAAAGCATGAGCTGGTCTCCCTGTGCTATGCAGCTGCTTCCCACTAGCTAGCTATTCTACATTTGGTAGTGTATATATGTCCATGACACTCTCTCACTTCATCCCAGCTTAACCTTCCCCCTCCCCGTGTCCTCAAGTTCATTCTTTATGTCTGTGTCTTTATTCCTGTCCTGCCCCTAGGTTCTTCAGAACCATTTTTTTTTTTAACTCACTACACATAATTTCGTTTCTTTTTTTAAATTAATTAATTTTACTTCTGGCTGTGTTGGGTCTTCGTTTCTGTGCTAGGGCTTTCTCTAGTTGTGGCAAGCAGGGGCCAATCTTCATCACGGTGTGCAGGCTTCTCACTATCGCGGCCTCTCTTGTTGCGGAGCACAGGCTCCAGACGCGCAGGCTCAGTAATTGTGGCTCATGGGCCTAGTCGCTCCGTGGCATGTGGGATCTTCCCAGACCAGGGCTCGAACCCGTGTCTCCTGCATTGGCAGGCAGATTTTCAACCACTGCACCATCAGGGAAGCCCCCTCAATTTCGTTTCTTTTTATGGCTGAGTAATATTCCATTGTATATATGTGCCACATCTTCTTTAGCCATTCATCTGTCGACAGACACTTAGGTTGCTTCCATGTCCTGGCTATTGTAAACAGTGCTGCAGTGAACACTGTGGTATATGGTTCTTTTTGAATTCTGGTTTTCTCAGTGTATATGCCCAGTAGTGGGACTGCTGGGTCGTGTAGTAGTTCTATTTTTAGTTTTTTAAGGAACCTCCATACTGTTCTCCATAGTGGCTGTATCAATTTACATTCCCACCAACAGTGCAGGAGGGCTCCCTTTTCTCCACACCCTCTCCAGCATTTTTTGTTTGTAGATTTTTTTTTTTTTTTTTTTTGCGTTAAGCGGGCCTCTTACTGTTGTGGCCTCTCCCGTTGCAGACCAAAGGCTCCGGACACGCAGGCTCAGCGGCCATGGCTCACGGGCCCAGCCGCTCCACGGCATGTGGGATCTTCCCGGACCGGGGCATGAACCCACGTCCCCTGCATCGGCAGGCGGCTCAACCACTGCGCCACCAGGGAAGCCCTGTTTGTTGATTTTTTGATGATGGCCATTCTGACTGGTGTGAGGTGATACCTCATTGTAGTTTTGATCTGCATTTCTCTAATGGTTAGTGATGTTGAGCATCCTTTCATGTGTTTGTTGGCAATCTGTATATCTTCTTTGAAGAAATGTCTGTTTAGGTCTTCTGCCCATTTTTTGTCCAAGATTCTTAAGCAACTGAAACTGAACTTGATCGGCATACACAGGTTTTTCTATGGAATACTGCGTGTGTGCATGCATGATCAATTAATTCCAAATGCGGTAAGTACTACAAAGGAGAAGTACAATACTACCCGAGGGGGTTACAGCTTTTTTGTGCACTCACGGCTCTTCCTCATCATAGTATTTATCACACTTTGTTGTAATCAGCTGTTTGTCTTTATTCCCTGTTATGAGTGGAACATATAAACATTAACTGGACTGTTAAATAAAAATACTTAATTATTTGTGGAATGCGTGATTAAATGATCAAATGGACTTGCCCAAAATACTAAATTAATGAGCCAGGGTAAGACTTGAAATTAAGACTCCAAGTCCTATACCTTGCCTATATACAGAATAACCAAGATACGGTAATGATTCTAAGAAAAGTTAACGTTAGCCTACTACACAACTACAAAAAGAATTAACTTATAATACATTTAGTTTGTAAACTATGCTGACTTGTAACATGAAAACCTATGTACATACAGGTATCATATAGTGTACATCTTGTACTAACATAGACGTACTAATTATACGCTATATTCCTGATTATTACTTAGGCATTTATAATGGAGTATGTTAAACTATTTAACTGAAAAATTAAAAAGGAGCTCATGCCTAAATACATAGTAACAGCAGCAGTTACAAATAATATATGCAATAAATGTAAATACATGCAAATTTGGGGTTATTTTTAAATGCAATAAGTAGTTTCTTAAATGTTTAATTCAAAGGTTATGCTCCAAAGAATGATGTTATAACAAATAAACTCTAGCACATGATAAAGTAACAGCTATTCTTGACTCTATAGGTACACATCCACAGCATGGTCAGCCTGCCGTCCTAACTCGGCTAAAGATATTAAAACACTTGGGCTTCCCTAGTGGTGCAGTGGTTGAGAATCTGCCTGCCAATGCAGTGGACACAGGTTCGAGCCCTGGTCTGGAAAGATCCCACATGACCCGGAGCAACTGGGCCCGTGCGCCACAACTACTGAGCCTGTGCGTCTGGAGCCTGTGCTCCACAACAAGAGAGGTCGCGATAGTGAGGGGCCTGCGCACCGCAATGGAGTGGCCCCCACGTGCCACAACTAGAGAAAGCCCTCGCACAGAAACAAAGACCCAACACAGCAAAAATAAATTAATTAATTTTACAAAAAGATATTAAAACACTTTATTTTCTTTGAATTTATAAAAATCACAAATACAATCCCCAAATTGCTAGCACATTTTTTACTTTCTTCCAAAAGAATCATTTTAAGCCAATCTTATGAAAACAGCCTAGTTCACAAAAGGGAATTACCGCCATCTAGTGACAGAATCTGGTAGAAAAATAAGTTCCATTAGGAGACTGCTACTTGAGAACCAAAAAAAAAAAAAAAAAAATGCTTATGTAGCAGTCTAATAGACTGATTTAAGAAAATATAGAAAACTGCAGCAGTAACACCCCCTCCTGGTTATGTTTTATTAACTTATATTGGATGCTAACATTAACATTACAGTTGTTCTAAAAATCTAATACTCATTATTATGTTCATTTTTTAAGACTGTCAGAAATATTTTAATTATGGAATGTTTAAAAGGAAGATAATTTGCTATGTTGGGGGCGCAACTAAATAAGCAGGACCCATTCCATTGACATACTTTCCTGTCCTCTAACTTGTAGCCGGACGTGAAGGGCCCCGAATAACTTGTAGGCCTTGAAAAGCCCTTATACATTTTTGTACAGGGACGAGTCATTTGGGGGGCTGTATACAGGATGGATTCCCATGAAAAATGTGCTGAGGAAAGACTAACCGGGTGGGAGTTAATGGTAGTAATCTAGACAGGAGATAACAAGGTCTGAACTGAAATGATGAACAAGGGTCCACTGGGTTTGGGGATCACTATAACGTGCAGCATGTCTCTCAATTCTTTACTGCAGCAATTTGTTTTTTTAATTTGGTCATACCTCCTTATATCTTTTCTATTATTATGTTAAACTGCACTGAAACGCTTAATCACTTTTTTGGTCTTATTCCCTCTACAAGATGGTAAGCTCCTTGAAGACAGAAATTACTTTAGTAAAGATGATAAATTTTTTTTGAAAGGATTCTATTTATTCTTAATAAGATGATAAATTAATAATGATTTAATTAAAAGAATCTGTGCATAGGGTCACTTCAACGATACAACTTGTGAAGACAAAAAAATACAGTGGGGTTTTGAAAAACTATTTTTTAAAAGATTCTTCTTGTGTAATTTAGGAGAGAGCTTATATTAATTATGTATATTACCAATTCTCAAATGTGTGACCACTGCATCATGGGGACAATTTTCATCTGGTGGATGGAAAGTGGTTTGAAATGGGTTGGTCCTTTTACCTGCATCTTTGGATAAAGGTCAACTCATCTATTATTTTTTTCCTCTCAATTTCTTCTTTTTTTACAGAATATAGTACAATTTATTTTTAAATGTTCAAAAGCAAGAAAACTAAATTTTCTTTTTCTTTTTTTTTAATACACACATGAAGGTAAAACTTTCAGGTTTTACCTTCAAAGTAAAACATCGATACATGTTAAAAACCTAACTTTCAGATCTGGCTAACCCAGGGACTTATTAACACAAAATCAGGGCAACAGTTACCTGTAGGGGAGGAGTGAGGAGGAACAAGGGACTCTAAGTTCCTGCTGGTGTCCCAGTTCTTAAGGAACAGGGAAGATGGACTGTTACAGTTAAAATTATATATATATATATATATATGTTTAAATATATGTTTTTAGATATATGACATTACCTCACATTAACATTTTTTTTTTTTTTTTGAGGTACACGGGCCTCTCACTGTTGTGGCCTCTCCCGTTGCAAAGCACAGGCTCCGGACGCACAGGCTCAGCAGCCATGGCTCATGGGCCCAGCCACTCTGCGGCTTGTGGCATCTTCCCGGACCGGGGCACAAACCCGTGTCCCCTGCATCGGCAGGCGGACTCTCAACCACTGCGCCACCAGGGAGGCCCATACCTCACATTAAATAAGAACTATTTTCTCTCCTCTCAATTTCAAGATTAAATTATACTTCCCACTCCAAAAAGCGGCCAAGATGACAAATGAACTAAAGATTAGGGCTACAGTGAAGAGAAATATAAACTAATAAAAACAAAAACAAAAAAGCATATAGCCTATAAAAATTCACTTACAATATATCAGCTATACAGAAACAGTATAGTAACAGAAAAATAAATTTTATGCAAGCTTGGTTCCACTCTAACTGTAATTTTTACTCTAACAATACTCTAACTGTAATTTTTATTTTCCTAGGTCCTTTCCATCACAGTGTCTAACAGTAACTTGCCTTTAGAAGATATAACATGAATTTCTATTCACTTCATTTCCTAAGCCAGGGAACTCCACTAAGCATGATCATTTAGATCATAAATCTGAACATTCACAGCTACCAGACACATACCTGAATTCAGGAAGAACTGGGGAGGGTCTCCATGAATGCCCACTGTGCCCGGTCCCAAGGAGTCAGACAGGGTATTTACAAAGGAAAATACTCCACTCATGATTCCAAAGCCCAAGCCAGAAACTAAAGAGGAAGGAAAACACTGTTAAAACTTACTCATGCTGTGTTTTCTCTTCAAATCAAATTCCCAAGGACTAGGGAACACTATTTTGTTGAAGGAAAAAGGGTGCACATGCTGTTAGAGAAGCAATAGAAAGCTGGCTCAGAAAAGGCAAGCGCTTGGCTAAATGATGAACCGAGAGAGAAGTGGGGAGGAAAGAGGAAAGGAAATGGGTCAGTGAAATGTAGCAGAGAAATGAAAAAGGAGAGAAAGAGATCCAGAAAGGCTCCAAAGGGATAGGCGAGACAGAAGGATACGATACTGAAGCTCTGACTTTAATTCATGACAACAGAACCTGTAGAATTAAGTGTGATGGAACTGAGCTTGAGGGGTGACTGTATTGTAAAGAGGGATCCCTGGGTCAAGCTGGGTGACTCAATTTAGGGACCCGGATCCAAACTTTAAACCATAATTCTGAAGGAAAAATACAAAGAGGTATTAACTGTATTAATATGAAGAGTCCTCTCAGTACAGACAAAGTCATGGAAACAACCCAGAGAAGGTAACAATAACATCACTTAGAAATTGTTAACTAGAGTGTATACATGTTAAAAAACCTAACTGTCAAATCTGGTTAGTATTTAATGGACACACAGATAAGGGTCACCTGCAATCACTTCCCTTTACATAAGGGCCCTGGAAAGCTAGAAAAATAAACAATGTACACCAATAGGCCAATGCGGTAGTAAAATACTACCTGAAACCTACAAAGATTTAAAAGATAAAAATGGCTTTTATGTCAAGTCTGATCTTTTATCTTTACACGCAATGCAGTTCTAACTTACCATAAGCCAGCAATCGCATAGAGGGTGCTTTCTCACCTGGGTTTATACTCTTCAAACCCTCACTGGATTTTCTAAAACAAAACCACACAGATAATTTTTTTTAAGTAGTATATCAGAAAAACACATACGATATTTTAAAATCCAGATACTTAATGAGGTTTTTGATCACATTATACTCTAAATCTAAAATCCATTTAAACGAACACAGCAAGTTTTTAATTAACTAAAGTCAACCAAAATTTCCAACCAACTTTTGCCTTTTATCTGACATTCACAAAGAAGAGGAAAAATAAGAAGAATATAAGTAAACAAGCCATCAGGGATTGAGTTTAATAATACAAAAAAAAGCAATACTTATGACTAAGCTTAGGAAGTATTTAATTCAACATCTTGTGGCATCTACCACTCTGAATTTTTCCTCTTCCCAAAGTACTGTATCTTCTATTCCACTTCTTTGGTACTTTGTTGTATTTCCGCCTGGGTTAGACTTATTCTGCCACTCTCCCTTTACCTTCCACTCCATAGAACGTTAGTGGTACTCACTCTTCAAAGTCTAGTTCATGCAACAATTGCTCAAAGAAGCCACCTTTACCAGTGATTGATAATTATTCATCCCATCTCTCCTTACTCTTAAATCCTACAAGACTGACAGTGTGAACTCTCATATGGATACCTAATCAAATGGTCTTCTGATTCAAAAACATTATTTGTTTCATAACCTCAGTCAGGCCTCAGGGGAGAATAAAATGCTACCCTCAGAAGATAAATGAATACCTGAATGAAACATTAGACTACTGCTCAATAAGAAATGATCTTCAAAGTGATCATATCCATGCTTCTGTCGTGGACAATTCACCAACTGACCATGAGCCCCTGCACCCCACACAAATGCGTGAGGACTGCGGCAGGTCGGCTCCACTCATCACTATTGCTACCCCTTGTTGGCTAGAAAGTCTGCAACAACAATCCTGACGCAAAGGATATTTAAATTATATTTAAAGTATATTTATTAAAGCAATAAAGGAACCAAACATTTTACAAGAATTTTTCAACAAGTGCTGAAACAAAAATGAGCTCAGTTAACTCTAAGAGTAGAAAATTAACCAGAACATGGAAATTATATTCTGGGTATTGGGTTAATTAAATTTTAAGGTATGTATATTCACTACAGTGAGCCTATCTCATGACATAAATATAAATATTGACCACATTAAGGCAACACAGAATTCAACCAAAATAGTAATAAGCATAAAGAAGAAGGTCTTTGGCACTTCCCTGGTGGTCCAGCAGTTAAGACTCCACGCTTCCAATGCAGGGGGCACAGATTCAATCCCTGGTAGGGGAACTAAGATCCCTGATGCGGCCAAAAAAAAAAAAAAGGTCTTTTTCTTTTCTAGACTCAAAAGAAACAATTTGCCATTTCAGGGCTCTCCATTTGGAAGCATCATTTGGTAGCAGGGACATGAGCCAAAATTTAAGTGACTGTCATCTTCTTTCTCTGGAGCTGTAACCACCTGAAATGTGCAATTTTCCTAAATAAACTTACCTGTCACAGGAATGTTGTTAAAGGCTAATGAATGCTTAGAGACCTATACAATAGCAATAGCTTCCATCAACAAACAGATATAATGGTATAACAGAATCAATAAATTTTGGAGGATTTCTGTTTTATATAAATTGCTCAGCAATGAATAAAAAATTTTTGCTATTTAGTATAACAAAGTACTGCTATCACAAATATATTAAATATATAAATTTAAGGTCTAGGGTCAACATTAGGAAATGAAAAAGTACAAAACACCATCATTTTCCGTGTTCCTGACAGATACATCACACAACTAATGATGTAAGTGACGGTGATTTTTTGCATGTGTGTGTGACGGTGATTTTAATCTGACCATTTTACTGAAGTGGAAAATTCTTTGTTTGCATTTATTATTGTTTCCAAGAACAAAAAACTCAATTTTTTAAATATAAACTTTGAAAAACAAATGATAAATCATACCAGCTTTCTTATTTGTTCTGATTCACTTTATATGTGTGTGTGAGAGAGGGAAAGTACCAAGGAATATGCATATAAAGTAAAAACACCATTTAAAAAATTTTTTTAAATAGACTTATGCCTTTTAAGACATTATAGCAATGATTCTTATTATTTTTCTATAAATGATTTTCTCAAATTACCAAATATTTATGGTATCAGCATTATAAGACAATTGAACTAAATTACAAAAGCTTTAATCCAAGCCAAAAAATTCTTAGGTATGTTTTAGGCAATGTGCAGGACCATAACTTGGATTTTTCTTTTTCCTTCTGAATAACGTAGAAAGGGCTATCACGTGTGGCCACATGTCAGTTTCTCACAGTGCAATTCTTTGCTAGGCTGAAAGTGACCATTCATTCATTCAAGATGAAGTACTGGTCCTAAGACCTAAGCCATGAAATAAATTTATGTTGGACCTACAATGATAAATACTTTGATTCAATTCCATATATGTAAAAAAAACTGGTGCAAGCTCTCCACATTTTCATCTTGGCACCAAATTCAGATAGCGAAAATTTGACTGAGGCAGTACTTTAAACTTAAAAGTTCAAAACCTACTTTGGCAGTGGAGATAGTTAAAATATTGATTAAACTGAAGTTCCTATATTTGAATGTAGTAAAGCCTAAGAGAGCAACTCAAATGCATCTATATAAATGTTAGTCATTAATAAAGTATCATAATAATTCTCAAACTTGTTTTAACATGTAACTACATAACATCCAACATTTCTAAAATGTGCTAGGAAAATACTGTACCATATTCCAAAGGTGTGTAGCAGATGCATTTTGTAAAGGCAAACAAAGGCACCTGTTAATACAGGTTTGTCCTATTATTTGTTTGCAAATCTCCAAAGGTCCTTTCAGAGGAGCAAACATGGTTTCCCCAGAAGGCCAAAGAGGCTTCTGTGAATTTCCTGGCATGAGAGCCTGCAGACTGACAGCCATAATTCCTTCTGCATGTGGCCCTATGCCCTCACTGCCCTATTAAAAATGGCAACTCTGGGACTTCCCTGGCAGTCCAGTGGTTAAGGCTCCAAGAGGCGCAGGTTCGATCCCTGGTCAGGGAGCTAAGATCCCACATGCCTCTCGGCGCAGCCAAAAAAAAAAAAAGGCAACCCATGGGGAATTCCCAGGTGGTCCAGTGGTTAGTACACCGTGCTTTCACTGCCGAAAGCGCGGGTTCAATCGCTGGTGGAGGAACTAAGATCCCACAAGACACATAGCCGTGGCCAAAAAAAAAAACAAAAAAAAGGCAACCCATGTTCAGCTTGTAGTCCTTTGGAACCTTAGGTTAGTGCCAATAAAAGGTTGCTTTTCCAGTGGAAACTGTGAAAAAAAAGATAGTGAAGAACAGCAGATACCCATTTAGCCACTCCAGGTAAGTGAGGTTTTAGAACCTCAAGTCCTAAGGGGTTATTAAAGTCACGTCCTGATCTATAAAAACTACTGAAATTAGTAAATGCAAAACCAACATGAGCCAGTGATGTTGGAGACAGGAAAATCCAGTCCAACCCGAGGCTGAGTTAAGAGAACAGTGCCCTGTCAAGGGCGGGAAGGACCCTGCTCTCTGCACTGCTTCGACCACAGCAGGGTACTGTGCTGGGTTCCAGGCACAGGTAAATCCCAGGCACCAACAAAAAGGGGTGTCCACTGACATAAAAGAACAGAGATGGGAAAAGGTTTGGAAGCCACATCCATGTCTCCTGAGGGCCAGCTGAAGAAATGAGGAATGTTTAGCCTTGAAAGAGACAAGATGACAACCCTGTGACAGAGACTGCATTTGCCTGTGCAAGGCAGAGGTCAGAAAGAAGGAGATTTTTATTACCTTAATATATTCTACAGTTAAAATTAAATTTTGGAATAGTAGTAACTGCTGCATACCAGAAACATTCAACCACAGCTGAATGTCCATCTGTTAAGGGTATTGTATTCCCATGGAACCTGAAATGTTATGTTTTTTATTTGTTGTTCTTTAATATTTCCAGGAACTAATGGAAATTTCGTTTTTAAACTTTTTCTCAGATATGACTTTTGCTTCTAAGCAACGGCTTCCTGGTTTTCTACTTGGGATTTAAATTGCTTTGTTATTAAATTTCAATATTTGTTATTAAAAGCAACAAGTAAAAAATACAGAAGGCCTGGCATATTGGCAAGAACAAATTATCAGAAGCCTATTATAAGAGATGTTATTGAGGTTCTGTCTTGGTTGCATCCATGAAATTCATAAAGCGCTTTAATTATCCCATTTGCAGAGATGAGAAGACATAGCACATTTATCACTCTACTAACTAAGCCTTACTACATAATCAAAGCCAACCGCATGACTACCTGAAAGAAAATATGGTTCCAAGTTCAGGCTGTGTTTCAAAACAGTGGTTTCATGTGAGATCCTCATGGATCTTACAGATGACCTACTTTCTGGCCTAAAAAGGGAACTCAGGCCCATGGCTTTTTTTTTTTTCCTTTTAATGTATTTTTCTATTCTGGACATGAAATCAAACAACGTATCACAAAATGAACCCCTGTTCCTCCCTAATACAGTCAGAATAATGGCAGGCATAATCACCATAAGAATTATCTATTTTAGGTGATGTCAAAGAGAAGTGCATATAAATTCTGATCTGTAACAGTTTTTGTTCTTCTTGTTTCAATGACTATTTCTCTACCTTATTTTTCTCCATGGCACTTACTATCTTTTAATATACAATGTCTTTTCTTGTTTATTCATTTGTTGTCTATCTCTTCCCACTATAATATTACCACCATGAGACTGTCTTTTAATCATGATGTATCCCCAGTACCTAGGGTATGCACGGCATTGAGCAAATTCTCAAGACATTTTTTGAACGAGTGAAGGAAGGAATGAATGTCCACAAGTTAAAATACTCAATATTTTCAGGCTGGAAGTGTACAATCCCTTGGCTTGGAACTACATAGGAAGACATGGACCTTCAAATACAGTAATACATTAATGTTTCAAACTACTAAATCATAATTCAAATAAAACTGGGAAAAAAGGTAAAGCATTTAACTTACTTTAAAAGTTTATAATATGCAAACCGGAACATTTCTTGGATAAGGACTGAGATTAACACTCCAAAGATCAGCAGATCTCTCTGTCTTGGTTCATCTTTGTTATCAGTAAGGGTTGCTGCCATGAACCAAATGAAGGAAGAAAGCAGCAGAGACACCAGCCAGAAGAAAGCTCTGAAAATTGGTGGGGGGGGGGGGGGGGGGGGGGGCGGGGGGGGGGGGGGACTGGAGGAGAGAGGGAGAGAGAGAGAGAGAAAAAGAACATTACTGCCACCTCTCGCTCACTTCTCTAGAACTGAGAAAATGTGGAGGAAACCTGGAATTTGCTTGCTTGCATTACGCGGGCCTCTCACTGTTGTGGCCTCTCCCGTTGCGGAGCACAGGCTCCGGACACGCAGGCTCAGCGGCCATGGCTCACGGGCCCAGCCGCTCCACGGCGGCATGTGGGATCTTCCCGGACCGGGGCACGAACCCGTGTCCCCTGCATCGGCAGGCAGACTCTCAACCACTGTGCCACCAGGGAAGCCCTAATAATGATTTAAAAGCAGAAAAAAACCCTGCTTGAGAAGGAAGAGATTTCCTGACAAAAAAAGTGTTCATGAAGTGATGCTCTTAACCAACTGGTCCTAATCAATGGTGCAGTTTCCCTGGTGAAATAAACATGCAGGCCAAGAGGAATTTGAGATTTTTCTTAAAAATCACTTTTTTCAGTGACCCTGCTATTTGTAAGTACATCTGCAGACTAATTGCCAAGGACTGTCTGTCTGGAAACTTGGTTATTTGCTAAGCTTCCTAATTAAAGCTTTGCCCATTGATGTGCAAATGTCTTTTCCAGGAAAATGTCTACATCTCTATTAACAGAGCGATTGGTTTAAAATCCAGAGGTTGAAAGCCTGTGCTCTGATCTACATCAGTCTTCCAGGCCTGGTTTTTACAACATTCCTGTGGATTTTAATGATTATAACAAGCTTTACAGACCTCTTGCCCAAATCTCTATTGTTTTTTAAATGACACGTGTGATGCAGCATTTTCAATACAGTTGTGAGAGGTGAGGAAGCTCAGAAAAGGTGGGATTCACTGGTCTCGCCTGGCTGTTTCTCCTGGTGCCAAGTGAGACCCAGTGGCGGAGAAGGTCGTAGGGGAGCTCCAGTAAGAGCTGCCAGACAGGTGAAAACTGGGATTATGATCACATTCGCCACCAGAGTTCGGTATTGACCAAGCTCCTGCAAGGAGACGTACTACAGGTGCTGAGGAGTTTTCACAGGTTTCTACCCTTTGGCCGCACAACTGAATCACCTGGGACGCTTTTAAAAAGTCCGAATTCCACCCCCTAGACATTCCTATTCAGTTGATTCAGGGAGGGGTAAGTGTTGGGCATCGGTATGTTTTAAAGCACCTGATCCCCAGGTGCTTAAGGGCTCTTAACTCGTTTGGGATTACAGATGCCTGTCAGAATCTGAGGGAAACTAGGGACCTCCCCCTCCAAAAACTAAAAGATGGATATTTGAAGTTATTCACAATTTTTTAAATACAGTTTTAATGTATGACTCACTAACGCCCACCCACGGACCCTAGGCAAAAACTCGGGAGCCAAGCGTCAGGGTTTTCTGAGACCCACGATGTGATCTCCTTCCCTAGAGCTCGCCCTCTGGGGTCGCGGGGCTCTTGTTCTTTTCTCGCCGACCCTCGGAGGAGGGCGAGGAGTCCCAGGGGAGTGGGGTCTCCGCTCTCCCCCCTCCTAACCCTTCTCCGCTCCAAAGCCCAACGAGGACGAGCCGTTTGGTGGGGACGCCAGGTATCGCCGGTACCCCCGGCGGGGGAGGGGAGCCCCAGGTCCGGGTTTCCCGGGGCAACCGCCTTACCCGATGATGAGGAAGATGATGCGCAACGGCTCGGTGGCGATGGTGAAGATGTAGAGGGCGAGCGCAGGCCCGAAGGCAACGAAGGCGCAGCCGAAGAACACGGCCGCCGTCATGGCGACCGCAGAAGCCGGCGCGGGGGCCTAGCGGGGACGCGGGGGCGCAGATCGACCACGAAGAAGAGCGCGCGGCGAGGGCGGGGCAGGCCGAGGGGCTGGAGGCGGGGCGCGGCGGAGGAGGCGGGGCGCGGCGGAGGAGGCGGGGGCCGGAGGAAGCGGGGGCGGGGCTTACCTCCGGGCTTTCAGCCCGGGAGACTTAGCAGCTTCTGATGCAGAGGCGGCGGTAGCTGAAGACTTTAGGGTAGGAGCTTTGGCGCCGCCCCCCGCCACCACCACTGGTACGCATCCATCAGGCCAAGACACCGCCCACGAGGTGGCTAAGAGAAGGGGAGGTCCCCAACCCGCTTCGGAGCCAGAACTGGGGAAGAGTCCAGATCAGCTAACGAAAAACTCCGCGCAGGACATAGGCAGGATTCCATTTCTAAACAAAGGAGCCTTTTTTTGAAGCACATTATGCCATTTGTATAGTTGCGGGAACTTCGTGAAACTATGTACAAAACCCTAGCCGGGAGAGCAGTGACCCAGGTGATAACTCACAGTAGAAGCTGTCCATCTCGGGGTTGTTTTGGCGACCTGGTTTCATTTGTACCCCACTCCCGCCAAGTCTTAAAAAAGTTGTTTCTGAAGGCATTCTTTGATCACCCCGTAATAACAGTAACATCTCCCTGCTCAGTTTTTACTTGCTCATTTGTCTCCCCCATTAAAATGTAAACTTCTGGAGGGCAGGGTCTTTGTTTTGTTCTTTGTTGTTTTTGCAGCAGCAAGAAGGTGCTGAACTAAATATCTGTTCAATGAATGAAATAATTTTAAAAGTGGAACTTACAAACATTTGCTATTTTATATTAATTAAACAATTTCTGAAAGGTTTACAAGTTAAAACCAGAAGGTTAATTTCCGTAATCATTCACATCTAAGATTTATCTCCATGTCTAATGGGGATAATAATGTCATGGGTTATTTTGAGGATTGTGCCTGCACAGTAAGTGCTATGTAAGTGTTGGCCATTCCTATTTATTCTTGAATGCCTGTCGTGAATAAAGCTCTTGGAACTCAACACTGAAAACACAAAAGTTGGGACCTGACTGAAGATGTTTTTGCAGCTCACCTCTGAAAAATGGGCCTTCAAATAATACAAGTATTTAATTTTTATGGTAGCATGTCACCTGTGTCCATTTAAAACAGACACATATATTTTCCTATTACTCCACAGAATTTTTCTTCATTTTGAAATGTCTTGTCCAGCACCTATTAAAACTCAGGTTGAGACAACAGTTGAAATTGATAGTGACTCACCATTAGATAATCCTTTGGTTCTACCCTGAACCTAATTTGTCAAATACAATTATATTACTTCAGCTCCATGCAGAAATGCCATCACAGAGGCATATCCTACTCACATCCTTGGTGTAAATTAAGCTTTTTTAATACAAGAAATTGTAAGCAGATAGGATAGGGGGTCTCCAGAGAAAGAGAACCAGGCATGGCTTCACTGACATAAGGAAATCTGTTTTTGGCCTAAGCTATTTTGTCATCTAAGCCTAGACACAATGCTTGTGCTTGAACAGGCCTTAGTAATTAATAGTCTTAAGGGAACAAAAGAATGTAGGACGTTATTGGGCAAGAGAAATAACAACAGCAAAGATAATGTATCAGTAATAAAGACTCCCAGCTTTGTTTCAATGGTAAAGATTAGCCTGAAGCCTCAACCACCAGGTCAACTGGAACCTAAGGGGGGATGATGTTGACCTTTTCTGACCCTTGTGACTTCAATCAACTAAAGCTTGGACTCTGTCGACCTTTGCCTCAATTCTCTGCTGAATTCTCCTCTGCTCAAGCGCCTACATAAATATGCATGTACCCTTAGCTTAAAACTTCCCCAGTTTTGCTGTTTGGGGAGACACTGCTTTGGGAAAGGTCCCCGGTGTGCTCCTTACTTGCTGCAAGTAATAAATCCTTCCTTCTCCTGATCTTTGGCTTGGTTGTGCCTTTTGGCTCGACACCCACCAAGAGGCGAACCCCATTTTTTGGGTAGCAAAATGGCCATCTACATTTCTTCTTGCATATTTCATAAACTATTTCATTATCATTATTCAACATCTCTAATTTACTGTTTGAGTTCAGGGCTAGAAAAAAGTTTTGTTTCTCCTGACAAATGCATATGCTCAGCTTGAGAGCTAACTCAGGCTTTATCTTAATTCCCAGGAAGCTTGGAGCTAAATTTAATAGTCAATTATAGCAACTGTTCTTCTTTTTTTAAATTACAATTACTGCCATGACTTCAGAATATGGCTTATTCTTTTATCCCTAGTTTGATTTGACTATCCTGATTTTAACCAAGATCTGTGTATCCATTAAAGGTCCCTCAAATACTTTGGAAGTAGGCAACTCAACATGCAGAGCTATAAATTGGGGGAATTTGCACTTACGTTATCTTGACCATATCTCAGTTCAATTTTAGTCCTCAAGTCCAGTGAAAAAATGGGACAGCAATGCAAAATGTAATGACTCTGCCCCCCTACCTATGGAGACATCTTTAACTGATGTCTGTTGGAATAAAATAGAAAAGGAAATAACTAGACCAAACTGTCAAAATCACCAATAAGGTAGACTTCTTCAGCATTCATGGTTATTTACTAGAAACACTTATTTCAAGTTTTCTCTGAATTACATTTATATGATGTATGGCTGTTTAAAAAGCACTTTTACACTGATTTCCACAATTCTTTTACAAGTGAGGAATGTGAGGCTAAGAAGCAGTGCTATTGACTCCTTAAGTTTTTATGAACTTACTATGAGTTTTCTCCAAAGACTTGAAAACACACTAAGTGATGTTGGGAGTTAAATCTCTAAAAGGTACCTGGGGGATAGAGGCTGACACACACTATGGATAAGGATATCAACTGCTGGGTATGCGCCTAGAGGAGTGGGAGGGTGCAAAAAGCAATACCACATTTTAGCAATTTGTCCAATAAAGCTTGGACATACCTACCAGTAATTCACAATATACTAATGAATTCACTTGAGCTTTATTTTCTGATAGTGCTGATAGATTTATGCTCAACCATTTATTCATTCATTCAAACTGCATGCTGTGTGAGTATAAAGTATCAGGCAAAATGCTAGGGGTTGGGAGTACACCAATGAAACAGTTGTGCTCCTGTCTCCACTGAGCTTACAGTCTAGCGGAGAAGCCAGACAGGCAAGTAGAGGGGTTACGAGGATATACAGGAAGGGGGAAGGACAGCCAATCCAAACTTGTGAGCTGTTGCTAAAGAAGATGACACCCACTCATTCAGGTCTCAGCTTTGGAGTTAGCAAAGCTAGGAAGTAGGGGAGAAATGGAAGGACAAGTGGAGAGGCCTCAAAGTGAAAGAAAGCAGGGCATTTCGGAGGGACAGAAAGTAGTTCAGGATGTCCTCTCAGTGTGAGGAGAGATAAGACAGAAAAGGCCAGCAGGTTAGAGTTTACCTCAAGTCCGGAGTTTATCCAAGGGAGTGACAGGCTCAGATCTCCTTTGTAAAGATAATGGAAAATGGGATTTCAGATAAGAGGTCTTTGGCATCTGCAGATGAATCAGGGAAACAGCAGGAGTCTGGAGAGAAGCAGAAAGACTGAAGAGATTTAGGAAATGTGCAAACAAAATTTAATAACCTGATGAGCTACATGGAGTGAGGGAGGGAAAAAATCAAGGGTGATGGCTTCTGGAAAGGTATATATATTTTAAAATTAATTAATATTAATTAATTTTACTTGTACTGACTGCAAAAAAAATGCACAACCTGAAAGTTGAGAATTATGTTTTATTCGGCCGAATTGCTGAGGGCTCGGGACTGCTCTAAAGAGTCAAAGGGAGGAGCCAGATATATGGGAGTTTTGAAAACAAAAACAAAACCCTGCGGTTAAAACAGCTGATGATTACTGTTAATTAAAGAAAAACCAGACATCTCAAGTGAATGAACTTAGCACTTTTATATGTGTGGGAAGACAATGAGTCTTGGCTCATTGAAAACATTCCTTTGATATGCACCTTAGCTATCTAGGGTCAGTATCCTGCTTTTCTTCATCCTGAGTTCCCTCTGGGTGCAGTTTTGGGGGGCAGCTGCAGTGGCTGAGGGCTTGATGGTCGTAGCATCCTTTGTTTACTGATATGGCATGCGACATTTTTCATCCACACTTGCCATGGGGGCATTCTCATATATCCCTGGAACTATATTGAAAAACCTAAATTTTGAGAGTAGAAAACAAGAAGAAAGGGGAAGAGAGGGTTTACTCAATTTATCAATACATAAAGAGCATTCTGGGTGATTTATCTTATTAAAAGAAAATTCTTCTATATTTAATAAAGGATAAAAGAGTGTAAGATATTTAACAAAGACTAACATAGTGTAAGATGAGGGCCAGAATAAAAACCAGATAATGAAGCTTCTCTTTTTATTGCCAAACTTATTGAGGCACTGATGAATTTACTTCCATTCTTTCTTCAAATTACAAGTAAATGGAGAACCAAACAGCTCCTAAATTACACTTAGCTTTCTTCAGCAACGTGTTGATTGTGATGACTACTGAAGTTCACTGATTCTTAACATTTATTAAACAAAGACTATGTGCCAGGCTCTTTGCCTGATACTGTGATTACAAAAACCAAAGACTCGATCCCCACCTTACAAGCGCTTAGAGTCTAGTGGGGAAGGAAAGTAAACCGATGATTCCAATCCAGGGTAGTGACACTTTGGGCAGACACAGGAGGGAGTTCCTAACCAGGGATGGGTTGTGGCTGAAGTCTTCCCAGAGAAACCCTTACTGAATGAAGATAAGTAGAAGTTACTGAGAGATAAGGAGAAGTTAGACAAGGGGCAGGGAGTCCGCAGAAGAAGCAGCATAAGGAAAGGAGTGACAAAGCATGTTATGTTTGGGGGGGGAAATGCAATTACTGGCGTGGTTCAAAAGGTACATATGAGGGCTTCCCTGGTGGCTTTGTTTGCCAGGCTACAGAGTTTAGTTTTTTTT